TGGTGGAGCGGGCGCAGTGCCTACGCCCCAAACATGGTGTGGGTTTAGGGTTTTGGGTTTATACGGTTTAGGGTTTAGGGTTTAGGGTTTAGGGTTTAGGGTTTAGGGTTTAGGGTTTAGGGTTTAGTATATGGGGTGTAGATGGGGTGTTGAACCTTTTCCTCACTTATAACACTCGGGTACAGCCGAGCGCCTGTCGTTTTTCGGAGCATGCCGAATTTCCCGAAACACGCGGTGCAACAACCATACACAGAGGCGCATCCCCAAACCCTAAACCCTAAACCCTAAACCCTAAACCCTAAACCCTAAACCCTAAACGTTGTGCGTCTGCTGAATGCTACCACAGACTTGTGTGTCCGGGGACTGAGATTTTCCCTGCACTTCAAAAACATGATTTAGGGCTTAGGGTTTAGGGAATAGGGTTCAGGGTTTAGGGTACCCGGAGACTCCAATGCCCCTTGCTTGAGGAATCTTCTTTGGCCCACAATTTCGCATTTAACTTTTTGGCATCATGATCAAATCCTCTGGGAGCTCAACAGTGTCCATTATCCCTAAACCCTAAACTTATAAGCCCTAAACCCTAAACCCTAAACCCTGAACACAAACACACCTTCAAAGCGAGTTGCCGAGGAAGATGGACACGACACGCACGGGCAACGCTCGACGTCAGAGCTGGTGCACCGGCCGCATGGAGGGTTATATGAAGTAGGGTTGACATTACTGTTATTGGTGACTGTATATAAGGTTCCTTTTTAATATTGGTGACTCTATATACCGGGTGTCCTTTTGGGGGCACAAGAACTAGATACCCTGCTTCATATAGGGTTCAGGGGCCGAAATCCTCAACCCCAAGCCCTAAACCCTGAAGGTATTGGGTTCAGGGTTTAGGGGTTATAAAAAAAGGGCCCTAAACCCTAAACCCTAAACCCTAAACCCCTTTAGGATTTTGGGTTTTAGGAGTTTAGGGTTTGCAAACTGTGGGTGCAGGGTTGAGTTGAGGCCGGCTGATGTTGAGGGATCGTCAGGGCTCAGGTTTTGGGGTTCAGGGTTCAGGGTTCCGGGTTTAGGGTTTAGGGTTTAGGGTCTAGGGTTCAGGGTTTAGGGTTTAGGGTTTAGGGTTTAGATTTAACGTGAGTACCTAGGGAACCCTATAGGGAAGCTTAGAGCCTTAGGGTGTAGTGGGGAGACCTCAGACCTTGGGTTACGTACCCCCCTTGACCCCCCCAGGACCCTAGAATCCTGAGCTGCAAAGCCACAGGCGCTACAAGCATCGTCCCAGGGGCTAAAGGCACCAAACCCTTAACCCTCAAAGACCCTTAAGAACCCTAAAACCCTAAACCCTAAACCGTAGGAAGCTCACCCTAAACCCCAAACCCTAAAGCCCTAAGCCCCAAGCCCCAAACCCCAAACCCTAAACCCTAAACCTAAACCCTAAACCCGAAACCCTAAACCCTAAACCCTAAACCGAAGGAAACCCAAAAGCCAAGGTGGCGGCGGCTCAGCGGGAGGTTCCGCCAGGAGGAGGACGATGCCGAGGAGGACTGAGGCTTTCGGGCTTAGGGTTTAGGGTTTAGGGTTTAGGGCCTGAGTTTTTTTTCCATCAGAAGTATCGCTCGTCAACCTCAATCTACACTTCAGGCGGGCCACCCCCAAATACCCATGCTCATACAGTGGGCCCATATGTTGATTGTTCTGTTCTGTTGCGAATGTTGGCAGCCATAGAGAGAGGTAGAAGCCAGGTGGTGATCCGAAAGCTTTTGTCGCAGCTGATTCCTCTTTGATGACACGCACACACACACACACAGGAAAGGCTAAGCCACATGCTGCACCAAAACGTCCCAAACCCTAAACCACCCCAACTGCCCAAAGCCTAAACCCGAAGCCCTAAGAGGCCCCAAACGCCCTAATAGCCCTAAAGACTAAACCCTAAACCCTAAACCCTAAACCCTAAACCCTAAACCCTAAAGACTAAACCCATTCCGCGCAAGGACCCGCGCGGCCCCGAGCTTTGCGATGCCGCCGGCGAGGTGCTGCTGTCACCCTAAGCCCTAAAACCCCTTGCGGCTGTTGTTTCGTGGTGATTTTGTAGAGGTTCCGCAAAAAACGGAAGGAGAACAGTCCCTCTACTTACCCGTGTAGGGGATTTTTTTTGGGGGGGGGACTTAGGCAAATGGTTTGGGTTTGGGGATTTGTAAGGGGCGCATTGTGGTCCCTTTAAACCCTAAACGCTAAACCCGAAACCTTAAACCCTAAACCCTAAACTCTAAACCCTAAAACCTTCTTAGAAGGATTCTGAAGTATGGCCCCTTGGGTCTATACAGGGTATGTAAGGGGTACATAAGGGTCCCCCCAAGTATGAGCCAGAATATTCAGGGGACCACGTAGCTACCCTAAACCCCAAACCCTAAACCCCAAACCCTAAACCCTAAACCCCTAAACCCTATAAGGGCTTAGGGTTCAGGGTTTAGAGACCTTCCGCCGGGATGCCTCGAGTCTGGGGGCTCCCGCAGGTTGCCTCGGCACTCGCGGTGGAAGCGCCGAGCGCCAAGCGAGAGGGGTTTAGGGTTTAGGGTTTAGGGTTTAGGGTTTTTTAGGGTTCGGAGTTTAGGGTTTGGGGTTTAGGGTTTAGGGTGTATTTTCAGGTTCTTATAAGGTTTGCCATTGCCTTCTTGTTTCTGGGGTTTTTGTAGGGTTGTCCAAGGGTTTGTTACAGGGCTTTTACCTTGTTTTGTTTTTCGGGCTTTTATAAGGTTTTATTGGGGTTTATGGGGTTTATAGGCTTTGGGGTACATGGGATATGGGGTTGGTTTAGGGTTTGTAGAGTGGCGATCGCTGGTCGATACGACCTTGAAGAAACCTGATGATGACCGTCGCAAGTCATTGGCTGTTCTGTCTCAAGCGACTCTTGACACTCGGAGTGACAGCACTAGCTGTGTGTTTTATCGCAGCCACGGGCTTGTGAATCAGGTGAGTTCGTTTAAGCTGGTGTTTCGACAACCAGCTGTGTGGATCCACTGGCGAGAGCGCTTTCTGGATGCATAAGTAATGCCGCTGTCAGGCCGAACCAGGCGCACTTCACGGAGTGAATCGAACCTCATGGCAAGGGTATTACAGACAGAGTTTGACTTTAGTGTCTCACATCCCCAATGCCATGCTTACATATGGACAATAATTTGGTCGAACTATCAAGCAGCTCTACATGCTGTGTCGTTGGGGGATGACTTACAGGGCAATCACTACCCTGCTCCCGCAGTCTACTGCGGTGGGAGTGGAAGTGAAGTTGCTGCTTGTGTGCAACATGCACCTGCCCTGAGGCAGGGAACAGCCATTTTGGTTGAAGTGCCTAATGTTATAAGTGCTCCAAGGTATTCAAGCCAAAGCCTTAAACCCCCAGCCTTACGCCCTAAAACCTATATACTCCCCGAGCCGCCGTCTTTAAAAACAGCGTATGCATTTGTATATTATGAACACATGTTTCATCCGTTTAGGGTATGGCTACTACTCACGTGTCCGCATTGCTTGTGCATACCTCGTGGCTGTATTCAGACAGTCTTTGTATTCAGTTCTGTACCCTGAACCCTAAACCCTAAACCTTAAACCCTAAACCCTCAACCCTAAACCCTAAACCCTAAGTTCTGTGCTACTTGGTCGTCAATGCTAGCGGTACCAACTTCATGGACTAGTGACGTAAGTGACCTACACTCCAATATGTACCCTAAACCCTGAACCCTAAACCTGAAACTCTAAACCCTAAACCTTAAACCCTAAACCCAGTCGTCATTATCATCGCCTGTACAATTCTTATTGCTCATGACGCTCAGTTGTTTTGGTTGGGGTGATGTGAGGGCTCTGGCCTTAGGGATTTGTTTTGGTTTTGGAGTTTAGGGTTTAGCGTTTAGGGTTTAGGGTTTAGGGTTTAAGATTTAGGGTTTAGGGTTTAGGGTTTAGGGTTGCAAGATGAGGCACAGCGTGGAGGGCATGACCTACGACCCCCGGCTGGTGCTCTTCGAGTTCTCGGCAGGGCTGGTGTTGCGCAAGAAGCAGGTGCCCACGGAGAACCCTAAACCCTAAACCCTAAACCCCAAACCCCAAACCCCAAACCGAAAACCCTAAAACCTAAACCCTAAACCCTAAACCCTAAACCCGAACCCGTAAACCCCAGAACCCTGAACACAGCAACCCCGGGTCACTAGAGCCCCCTTTTGGTTAGGGATCCTCTGCTGCACTCCCTCCCAACCAACCCCACCTCCATCCGGGTGCCCAAGCAAAGCCAAGTTAATGGCCTGATATTGTAGGGTTTAGGGTTTAGGGTTTAGGGTTTAGGGTTTAGGGTTTAGGGTTTAGGGTTTAGGGTTTAGGGCACTACTGGCTGCAGAACCCCCCCCCCCCCCCCAACAAAAAAAAAAAAAAAAAACCGAGCACGAGAATCCCTGTATTGTCGGGGTCAGGATGCCCGGTACTCGCCTTAGTCCCATTTTTTGGCAGTTTGGGTTCCCGTATACACCCCTTTGACTTAGGGTTTCGGGGTTTGGGGGTTTGGGGTTTAGGGTTATAAACGCCTTTAAGCATAAAAGGGCGCCCATTTTGATCCTAGGTTGCTCAACCCCTAAACCCAAAACCCTAAACCCTAAACCCTTGTTATGCCTAGGTGAAAAGAGTCGCCGTGGGCATGAGTTGAGGAGTTTAAGCTGAGAGCCGCAGCAGGTGGCTCTTCGGGGGGGGGGGGGGGGGGGGGGGGGGGGGGGCATGGTCGGGGCAAGATGTGGGGTCTAAGTGTAGGGTGTCAATGGTTTATGGTTTAGGGTTTAGGGTTTTGGGGCTTTCTAACCCTACACCCTGAAACCCTGAAGCCCTAAGCCCTGAACCCTGAAGCCCTAAGCCCTGAACCCTGAAGCCCTAAGCCCTGAACCCTGAAGCCCTAAGCCCTGAACCATGAAACCTAAACCCCTACACCTCAACGACCAGCCCGTGCCGTTGCGAAGGTTGAGTTGGTCAGGGCCATGCAGGCGGCTGTGGAGGACACCGGAAACCCTCCAAGCCCCTAAATCCCTAAACCGCCAGGGTTTAGGGTTTAGGGTAGTTTAGGGTTACCCTTAAACCCCTAAACCCCCTAAACCCTAAACCCTAAACCCTACACGTTCCTTTTTCTTTTCCTTGGGGGAGTGCTTTGAGGTTTGGAGTTTGGCTTTAAATACGTGTAGGGTCATAGGTTTATAGGGTGGGTGTAGAGACCAGGCGAGCAGAATCAGATTGAATAGCGCGGCACAAACCCTGAGGACGGTCGCCCGCTGGTTCATCAGATGCTCATGGGTGCCCTGGCTGGGTTTAGGGTTTATTTAAGAGCCTCGTTGACCCATCCAACACGCCGCCAGGGTCGGCAGATATAGGGTTTAGGGTTTAGGGTTCAGGGTTGGCGTTCCAGCGCTCCCCGCTTGGTCGCGAGGGCTGGCTTTTGGCTTTGAGGCGTTTAGGGATTGTAACCCTAAGCCCGAAAACCCTAAGACCCAAGTCTTTACGGACGCCTAAAACTCGATCCCTAAACCCTAAGCCCTAAACCCTGTTTTCTTTGGCGGAAAACCCTAGCCCTACAACCCTGAACCCTAAACTCCAACACCCCAAAATTGCTCCAACACCCCTAAATCCCTAAACCCTAATCCCTAAAACCCTAAACCTGAAGCCCTAAAACACCTAAACCTGAAACTGTACTACCCCAAAATTGCCCAAAAACCTAAATCCTAAACCCTCACCCCTAAAACGCTAAACCACCTAAACCCGCCTAAACTCTACTGCCCCAAACTGCCCCGAAACCCCTAACCCTAAACGCCCTAAAACCCCTAGAGCCCTAAACTCCTAAACCCCCCTAAAGCCCCTAAAGCCTTATACTATGCCTTAAACCCTCAACCCTAAACCCAAACCCTAAACTCCAAAAGACACTGATGCCCAGGTCAGGGAAAGACGACCGTCGTCACGCCGCTAACCATTCTCGTCCATGGAACCTCCGCGAGGCTAGGGTTTAGGGTTTAGGGTTCAGGGTTCAGGGTTCAGGGTTTAGGGTTTAGGGTTTAGGGTTTAGGGTTTAGGTTTGGGGTTTAGGGTTTAGGGCTTAGGGTTTAGGGCTTTGGGGTTTGGGTTTATTAGGGGGGCACGAAGCCCTAAACCTTGAAGTCCTGAAATTCCGAGCCTAATATGAGGGGTCGGAATAATTACGAGTGGTAAATCCTTATGGTCCCTTAGTAAATATGCTCTAAAAACCCCTTCCCCCCCCCCCCCCAAAAAAAAAAAAAAAAAAAAACAACTATTTTCATCATTAAGGCCCCTATATTACCCCCCCCCCCCCCCCAGCCCCCCTGAAAGCGGAGCCGCACACTTTCAGGATCACAAACTTCAAGAGAACTAGCAAGAAGACTGTGAGGACTTTTGTTTGGGCTTGTTTGTTGTGCCCCAGGCCCTAAACCCGAAACCCTAAACCCTCAACCCTTAGGGTTTAGGGTATAGGGTTTAGGGTTTAGGGTTTAGGGTTTTTCAAGTCAGACAGGGCCTGCGTCGTCTGCTGCCCAAGCGCCCTCCTCGAGTTCACGTGCAAGGTTCTCCGGGCGGCTTGGCGTTGCCATGACATGGGGATTTCCGAAAATAGGGTTTAGGGTTAGAGTTTATATAGGGTTTAGGGCTTAGGGCAGGGTTTAGGGTTTAGGGATATAACCCTCAAAATGCGATACTCCCTTGAAGGAGAACCCCCGCCAAAAAAAAATAGGGTACCCCGATTTTCGGAAGCATGGCATAGGTGGTGCTGTGCCTTGCTACGTTTTTTTAGTGCAGGTTCTGACAAAAATAATGATGATGATGATGATCTTGACATAAGTTATCAAAAGGGGGGGCTCGTTGATGGGCACAACTGCCTCCTCACCCATGAGCCCCAAGCCCCAACATTTTGCGAAAAGGCAATAAAACAAGAACGCTAAACCTCCCCCCACCCCCCCCCCCCCCCCCCCCCCCCCCCCCCAAAGTCACTCTAGGATCAACTCTAAACCCTAAGCCCCCTAGTTAGGAGCGCCTGTGCGGCGTGCTGTTCCGGCCCGTTGTGGAGTTTCACTTCACTCGCTCGACGCCGGCCACATGGTTGACTGAGAAGGTCTCCGGGTGATGGAGTGTTTAGGGTTCAGGGTTTAGGGCCACTCTCTGTTTGTGGGCATTTTTCCCGCGCCGCAGTAGAGGCTAGATGGGGAAAGGAGCCGCCCTTACAAGTAGTGGTAGGCTAAGTCGGTTTAGGGTTATAGGTTTTAGGGTTTAGGGTCTAGAGTGCCGGACTTTGGGAATCTTGGGTTCAGGACTAGTCGCTGCTCAGTTTAGGCAACCCTAAACCCTAAATGAGTTTTGAACCCTGTAGCGTTTCTCAGGCTGTACAGCCTCAAGACATAAACCCTGAACCCTCGCTCATCCCGGAGGGTTCTATAGATCCGGAGCCCTAAACCGAGAGCTCAAAAGCCCTACAAACCGCAAACCCTAAGCATTCCACTTCTAGCCCCCAGCACTGAGTCGTCTTCTTCCAGATGGTTTTTCTTCCACCGCTGGCATCGGTCTTGCCGCGAGATGTTTAGCAACCCAAAGCGCAACGGGGTATCAAGACTCCGAACTTCTCGGGTTCAGGGCTCTAGTGTTGGGGGTTCAGGGTTGGTGGGGTTTAGGGTCTAGGGATATAGGGCTTTGGGCAAACCGAGGAATTAGGTATCCCGGCCCAACAAAATGGAATTACTCTTGTGGGTCAAGGTAAGTTTTAGATTTTTGGTTCTGGAGATTTCGGGGTGAAGGCTAAATTAAGCCTCTCAGCCCCTAAACCCTAAACCCTAAACCCTAAACCCTAAACCCTCCCTAAACCCTAAACCCTAAACCCCAAACCTTGCCAACACCCAGAGATCTGCCTTTTCAGGTCTCCGACGACCACTTCTTTAAGCTACTGCCTTCGAGCTGCAGTTGGCTTCAGGGCCGGTATAGGATTTTTTGCGGGAAACAGGCTTAGGGCTTTAGCTCTGAAGGGTTTGTGGTATATGGGGTCTTAAAGGGTTTCTAGGGTTTAAAGGGCTTACAGAGCTCATAGGGCTTATAGGGTTTATAGGGCTCATAGGGTTCAGAGGGCTTATAGGGTTTAGGCTTCAGGACCCTGTAGGATGCTTCGAGCTTCGTGGGGTAGACATGGGTACTCTCTAAAACGTATTAGGATCCACGGCACCTGATTGACTTATATTGGCCATTTCTCTAAATATGGTCCTTTTTTTTTTTTTTTTGGGGGGGGGGGGGGGGTCCTTATTATAAAGCGGCCCCCTCTTATTCAGGGTGCCCCAACAGGGACCATAACTTAGAGAACTGACCCCATACATATGTATATATATATATATGCATATATCCATAGAGAACCCAAAAGGGACGACCCTAGCTTAGAGAAGCTTATCCTTTGTGAGGTGAGGGGAGGTCATGGTGTTGGGCTCGGGCCACACATCACCTGAAAGCCCCCACAACCCCAGAGCCTGCATTTCCTCAAGGCCTGCTGAACTCTACAAACCCTTGTAACCCTAAACCCTAAACCCTAAACCCTAAACCCTAAACCCTAAACCCTAAACCCTAAACCCCACACCCAAACCCGACACCATCAGGCACGCCCAGGCGTCGCGAGCTGCTGCTGAGCTGCAAAGATCCGGCTGTAGGGGGTAGGACCTTCCCAAATAACGGTACCCCTCTTGGGGTAGCCAAGACATCGGCAAAAGGGTACCAGTGGGCTGCCAAGGTGGTACAGATTGGGGTCTAGGGTTTGTAGCTTTGAGGTGTGGAGGTTTGGAGTGTTTTGGGCTTCTAGCGGGTTCGTACCTCAGGGTTCTTCTACCCCCTAAGCCTCCAATCCCCTAAACCTCTAAACCCTAAGCCCAGTTGCTTTCCTGTGTCTTGGGGTCAGGTTCCCGAAGAAACCCCTGAATGCAAAGACGAGCATGCGTTGGCCTAGAACCCGAAAGCCGGAGCGTTTAGGGTTTCGGGTTAAGACACTGAGTACATCCTGAACCCTGAAAGCCGAAATCCTGTAGTTACTTCTGAGGTTCTGTGCTCTGGGCCTACGGCCCTCAAGTCACTCTTGCTTCGCTTCGTGCTGACGCTGCATGCCATCGACGTGGCCCAAAGCAAGGACCCTAAGGGTTAAGGGTGTAAGGTTTTAAGGGTTTTACAGGGTTCAAGGGTACAGGGGGTTAAGGGTTGGACTTTCAGATTTGGGGTTTAGGGCTTATAGGGGTCTCGGGTTTAGGGTTTAGGGCTTATTAGACCAAGCTTAAGTTGCAGCGCACGTGCGCCGCTGACCAAATTGCCCCCAATAGTACACCGAATAGGCGCTGTTCCCTAAACAATCCTTTGGAATGCTTCAATTTTAGGATTTAGGGGCTTCGGGGTACCAGGTCGTACTTTAGTACTGGCTCAAGTTTGGTGTATTAGGTTGATATCCTGAACCCGAACCTTACTATGAAACCTAAGCCCTAAACCCTAAACCCTAAACCATATGTAATGAAGCTTTGAAGTGCTGTCTGAGAAACCCTCAACCCTAAACCCCAAACCCTAAACCGAAACCCCTGCCATATCTCCATCTGACACTTGGCTTGAGGGTGCAGGGCCCGGGGGATGGGTGGCTTAGGGCTTCTGGGGGAGTCTCATCCATTAAGGGCCCATGTATGCTTTAGGGGGTTCAGGGTTTAGGGTTTAGGGTTTAGGGTTTAGGGCTCAGGGTTCAGGGTTTAGGGTTTAGGGTTACATGGTCACTTCAAATGGTCCCTTACCTCCTTTACAGGATTCTGCAGTATGGGCCCTTGGGTTGGTTGGGCAAAAAAGGCGAATGCAAGGGGTCCATTCCACATCCAAGCCCAAGCCGAGAATCCCCTACAGCCTAGAAACCCTAAGAGTCTAATCTTACTACACATTCCCAACCTTGGACCCTAAACCCTAAACCCTAAACCCTAAACCCTAAACCCTAAACCCTAAACCCTAAACCCTAGGGTTTAGGGAAACTGGTTTCGGGTCGAGTTCTCCGCAGGAAGTGGAGCGGCACGAGGTGGATCGGAGCCAGGCTGGGCCCCGGGTTTAGGGTCCTACCCGAATGACTAGCCGGAGTGGGCTACCCGAATGACTAATTTAGCCGGAGTGGGCAACACCTTGGCTGCCTTTGCTCAGGCGCCCAAAGGTACCTCGGGTTGTTTGAAACCCTGAACCCTAAACCCGGAACCCCGAACCCTCGACCCTGAACGTCGAACCCCAATTATCACTGCACTTATCAACCCCCTATGAGTCCCCAAGTAGTCGTACAGTTATACATGCAGTTCTAAGTACCCTTGAACTGTCAGGGCTTCCTGGGCTCTTCGGTGAAGAACCTGCTTTCCTGGCCGCGGTGGTCCGCCAGGAGCGGGAGGTTTTTTGGCGGGGGCGAAGGAGGGGGGGCAACTCGCTCTATAGGGCTGTTACAAGGTGGGGCCCCCTAGTTATAAGTAGAGTTATAAGAGCCCTAAATTGGGTCATAAGGATCCTAAATTAGGTTATAAGTCCCTTAACTACAGTTAGTATAGTAAGGGGGCCCCTCCTTGTAGGCCTGCAGAGTGGTGAGGGTTGTACGTTTTGGCGTTGAGGGTTTCAGGGCTTCAGAGGTTTGGTGTGCTTCAGGAAATTCAAGAGAGGTGTCCTCTAGGGCTTTCAGGGCTTCTCTTCAGGGTTTCGGGGCTTCTGGGGCTTCTCTGAATTCAGGATTAGCCATTGGGATTGTTGCAGTGCTTGCAGCTATTGCTTTTTGGAGTTGGGGGTTTGGGATATACAGGATGTTGGCTTAAACCCTAAACCCTAAACCCGGAAGGGGGGGCCCTAAACCCTGAACCCCAAATCATAAACCCTATAAACCCTATAAACCCTATAAACCCTAGACCCCCGGTCGTCTGGTGCCCCCTAACTCTGCCTACAACCCCATTCAGAAGCGTCCCTGCCCCATGCCCGCCATTCCCCAGAGAAAGCCAGGAACGCAGCTGTGGAGCGTCTTGAAGCCTTGCGCTTCGAGGCATGGAGAGAGAGAGAGAGAGAGAGACAGAGAGAGGCAGAGAGAGAGAGAGAGAGCCAGAGCGAGCACTTCAACCATCTCAAACTCAAACCCTAAACCTTCTGAACCCGAAACCCTAAACCCTCCCCCCCAAAAAAAAACAAGAAGCGCAGCTTGCTAAGCCTTGCGACTTCCCAACCCTACACCTGGGTCGGAACCAAAAGCACTACCCTCCAAATCGTTTTTCGGGTTTGGGTTTCTTTCACCTACCCCTCCCCCCCACCCCACGACCCAGCTTTCTAAGTAATGTCCAGTCCTCCGATGCCTCAATTCAAACATCAACACAATACCCCTAAACCCTAAACCCTCCCAAAATGCCCTGTAGCCCTAAACCCTATAGCCTAAACCCTAAACCCTAAACCCTAATCTCCCTAAACTCCCTAAGCTCCCGAAACTCCCTAAGCTCCCTAAGCTCCCTAAACTCCCTAAACTCCCGAAACCATAGATAGCAGAACCTCGAACCCTCAACACCCTGAATACGCCCCTAAAACCCTCTCGCAAGTCCGCACAAGGCCTCAGCACTTCGATGGGCTCTGGGCGTCTTCCGAGGCTGCCCCGGGCGCGTTTGCGAAGAAGCGCCCCTGGGTTGGGGTTTAGGGTTTAGGGTTTAGGGTGCTTAGGGTGCTTAGGGTGTTTAGGGTTTTTAGGGTTTTTTAGGGTTTTTAGGGTCTTTTTTGGGTTTTTAGGGTGTTTAGGGTGTTTAGGGTGATTAGGGTTTGTAGGGTTTTTAGGGCTTTTAGGGTTTTTTTGGGTTTTTAGGTTTTTGGGGTTTGTACGGTTTTTAGGTTTGTTTTTGGTTTTTAGGGTTTTTAGGGTTTAGGGTTTAGCGCGACAGCACTGTGGCATTTTTGCTTTAGGTTGAGGGTCTTTCAGCGAGGCAGTGGGTTGTGTATCTCGATACTGGGGTTTTCCTGCACTTAGGGGTTGTGGAAGCTTTTGGTAGTTGGGAGTTTTCGTTTGGCCTTGCAGGTTTCAAAGTCGAGGGCGCAGACTCGGAAGAAAGTGACGGCAACTCGATCTACGTAACAAGAGCCCAAATAGTTGTGGAACATCACCACCATTTATTTGTAACTTCTAAACCCCCCCATGACAATATGAATCACATCTTCAAGAGCAGCCCCTATAACAAGAAACCCTAAACCCTTAAACCCTAAAGGCCCTAAAGTAAGCAGGCGCCGTTCTCCTGCTGGACGACATCGACCTGCTGATGCATCCTCTTCGCAGCGTGCCGCGGTTGAAGCGAAATCGCTCTCATGCGGTTTAGGGTTTAGGGTCTAGGGTCTAGGGTGTTGGGTTTAAATGGAGTTTAGAGTTTAGGGTTTAGGGTTTAGGGTTTAGGGTTTAGGGTTTAGCGCGACAGCACTTAGGATTTTGTGATTGTCGAAGGTTCCAACACCCTGAATATCAGGGAGCTTTCCCTTGAAATGTCCATTCTTGCAACCCTAAACCCTAAACCCTCAACCCTCAACCCTCAACCCTAAACCCTAAACCCTAAACCCTAGACCTAAATGTAAACCCTAAACCCCAAGGTTTTGGGCTTAGGGCCTTAAGGGGTTTCGGGACTTTTCGGGGATTTTTTGAGTTCTTGGGCTTAACTGGCGTCCTCCTTCAGTCATAGAGTTTAGGGTGACCCGAAAACCCTAACTTATCTTTTTCCATTATCCTTAGTTCCGACAATTCAGCACCAGAGCACCACCAACATCGATCCGAACTGCCCTAAGCCCTAACCCGAAACCCTAAACCCAGGAGCTCCACTGGCCCCTCGGGGATCAGCACAAGCTCGACTTCACGACCGCCGCGAGCGGGGCCCGCGAGCCCGCGGAGACGAGTGGTGAGCGGGGGAGCACAGGCTTTGGGGCCGAGGTTTTTGAGGGTTTCTTAGGTATCTTAGGTCTTAGGGCCTAGGGTTTCGGGTTTAGGGTGAGGAATTTAGGGAGAGCTTTTGGGGCCTCAGGGCAGTCGGTCCTCAAGGGTTTGAAGTGTAAGGCACTAAATCCACCTTCGAACCCCGTCGTCCCATAAGCCGCACCACCCCTTGTCCACAAGCTTCCAGGCCCTAGGCCCCAAAAATGTATACTGCAAGCCCGCACACGAACTTCAAGCCCTCGACCCTAAACCCTGAACGCGCCGTGCGACTGCCGCCGGGCTCAGGCGAGGGCTCGCTCTGTAACCCTAAACCCTAAACCCTAAACCCTAAACCCTAAACCCTAAACCCTAAACCCTAAACCCTAAGCCCGCCCCTCTCGCCCCAATCTCGCCTCTTACCTTCGCTGCGGGTCTCTCCGACTCTCGCCAGTCCTGGCCTCTCCGACATTCCGGCGCAAGCCCCTGGCCCAGAGACTCCAAAACCTCCTAATTATGAGGAATATACCTTAAATCAAAATAGGAACCCAAATATGATTTAAGCTATATTCCTTATAACTAAGGGGTTTTGGAGTCTCTGGGGGGTCAGTCGAGCCCCACCCCTCTCCTGACGCCCTGTTTTGAAGCTCGCTCATAGAGCGTGCATCTTAGTTTCGGCTGGGCCTTTCGCTCACCTGCCCCGGGACCTCTCACCCTAAACCCAGACGTGGGTTTTGTTGATGAGCCCTTTTCCCTACTGCCTCTTTCAGTTTAGCAAAGGTGCCCCTCCCCTCCCTCCACTCCCCCCCCCCCCCCCCCCCCCCCCCCCCCCCCGGTTATACTTACAGGTTTGAGAACCTAGGTTATGGTACCTAGAAACCACTTCACTCTCTGTCATTATTTACGACCCAGCACAGGTTCCTCATAACTCTTGCTCACTATACCCTAAACCCTAAACCCTAAAACCTAAACCCTAAACCCTAAACCCTAAACCCTACTTCCGTCCCTTAGACCTGCACACGAACCCAAGGTTGGGTCAGGACTCGGCGGTATCTTTCACCCCGAGCGGCGCGGCCACTCGTCAGCACAACTTCAGCTTTGGGGGGCTTTGGGGTTTAGGGTTTTCGGGTTTTCGGGTTTAGGGTTTAGGGCTTGGGGTTTAGGGTTTAGGGTTTAGGGTTTTCGGGTTTAGGGCTTAGGGCTTAGGGCTTAGGGTTTAGGGCTGAGTGAACAAAGCTCTGGGGGGTCCTTCGGTAGCTCTGCACCTCCCAGGCCCGCAAGAAGAACTCAGCCAGTACAAGGTCGTGGTCCAAAGCTTTGGGCTGCCTCTGGCGAATACTCTAGGTGCTAAGAATTATCTGAAAAGAGGGTTTAGGGTTTAGGGTTTAGGGTTTAGGGGGCTGAGGGATTCCCTGAAGCAGGGTCGTTTGCTGAACCCCCTCGCCCTTGCAACAAAATTAGCAAGTGAATTTAGGATGGATTCTTGGCAGACAGGCCACCCTAGCGCCATACGTCAGATGCCCATTCCGCCTGCTGGGTCTGACCTCCATTTCGTCACCTTTGCTTCGGCCGCGGCCTGTTTCCCCAACTGGATGGAGAGCGACAGTTTCTATATGCTGGGGTTGAGGTTCTCGGCTTAACTGCGGCTATGGCAAGAAATGGGCCCACACAAAGGTCTTGCGGCCCATGTTCCAGAGGGTTTTCGGAAAGCTGGGATACCTGGCCGGAGCACCAAGCAAGGCCAAGTTCGATCGCAAGACACTGACATCTGCGCGAAACAAGGGCGGGGGGATCCAGTGTCTTCTGAAGACCCCGTCATTACCCCACTTTCTGAAATAGGTATAGGCTGCTTGCAAGAATGGCAGGTTTTCGTCTTCTGCTAGGTTTTCAGTGGGAGTAGGGTTTGGAGTTTAGGGTGTAGGGTGTAGGGTATATTTATATGTTGAGAACGTTTCGTGGGGAGGCATTGGATGTTTGTTGGGTGCCTGGGTCAAAGCAGATTGCGCCAGAGCTGTGAAAAAGGCCAATCCCCACTATGAATTAGGTTAGTTATATGGGTAGTTTCCTAAACTGGGGTCCTTTTGGGTACCCAATATAAGGCTGCACTCTTTTAAAAAAGGATCCCAAAAGCCACCCTAATTTAGAGAACTACCACCCCCCCCCCCCCCCCCCAATTCGTGTTTGTTACGCTTTATGTTATCCGTGCTCGCCGTTCTGCGCTTGTGAATTGTGAAACGTATTGCGCACGGCTCACGGCTCTGGTTTAGGGTTTCGGGATTAGGGCGAAAAAATGATGGGGCGCATGGACAACACAATGATTTCCCATCGCCCGCACATTCCCTAAAGTCTTCAATGTAGTTCATGCTCAGGGTCGTGTGCAGTCGTCCCGAGAAATTAAACAATGATAGTGTCAGCTAGCCCAACCACGGAACTAAATCTGTCTTCTTTTTTACGTTTACTATTTTTTCAGTATGCATGCCGTTCTTTGGGGCAGTTTGGCGCGTGTAAGAAAACCAAGCAATTTACGGGACCTTTGCATGCTGACATCCAACTCTGCAACCTTTTAAAGCCTAAAGGTTTAGGGTTAGGGTTTAGGGTTTAGGGTTTAGGGTTTAGGGTTTAGGGTTTAGGGTTTAGGGTTTAGGGTTTAGGGTTCAGGGTTCAGGGTTCAGGGTTGAGGGTTTAGGGTTTAGGGTTTAGGGTTTAGGGTTAAACCTCAAACCCCTGCAACCCAAGTAACCTTCGTTGCCTTCACGTAGACAGAGGCCTCGATTGAAAGATTTTGGTTCAGGACTTAGTGCTTTCGGGCTTTCCCTACCCCCCCCCCCCCCCCCTAAACCCCAAGATCCTCCAGCCAACCCTAAGCACTAAGCCCAAAACCCTAGACCTAAATCCGCACCCCAGTCCCCCCCAACCCCAATCCCCCCCCAGCCCGAAGAAAAACAAAAGTTGGCAAACTGCCCGAAAGCCCTTAAAGCCTCACTGCCTCACAAAAAGCCCCAAAGCACAACCCTTCCCCCCCCCCCCCCCCCCCCATCCCAAACCGCGACAACCCCTAAACCCTAAAGCGCGAAAACAAATAAATCAGAAATACATATCAATGTGTATATAGTCACTTCTCTAGGTTGTGGTCCTTCTTTGCGATTGTGAGGTGGCTCCGAATATCCAAAAACAGGGCATGGGTTTGAGAACTGATCATATACGTACATACATACATACATACACACACATATGTATATATATATATATATATGTATGTATGATTATGTCCCTAAACCCTAAGCCCTAAATCCTAAACACAAAATGTATGTTTATAGGTGTGTATATATATATACATACACATATATGTAATACACCTATATATGTATATATGAAATACATATATACATATATCTATATATATATATATATATATATATATTGAAATGGCCCAGGTGGGTGCCCGCTGGCAGCTTGGTTTTCACCTCTTGGATGGCTTCTTCTCCTGTCAGCACTTCGGCTGCATGCCGTGGCGTGTTTGTGTGTGGGGAGGTTTAGGGTTTAGGGTTTAGGGTTTAGGGTTTAGGGTTTAGGGTTTAGGGTTTAGGTGGGGTTGACTTGAAGAAGTCCTTACAGCTAACTCTGCGATCCCCGCGGGGGTTGACAGGCAACTCTAGGGGAAACCCTTGTCTCTAGCGATTTTGAAGACCAAACAGCGTGGTACGCCCTTAGGATGTTGCTCCTTTCCCCTTTTGGGCTTAAGAGAGTTGAGAGGATCATACTGAGGTAGGCGGATCACTACCGTGTCTGCTAGGAACCACCTGAAGGCCCATAATCCATAAAACCCCATATTGGTTGGTGGTCTCTTTAAGTAGGGTTTCTGTTTTGTAGGCGGGGTTCTTATAGGGTATCTAGGGGCTATGTTAAGGTATAATGGTAACAGATGAACAGGCCGCCGGCCTTTATAACCTGACTCCTAAACCCCGAACCCTGAACCCTAAGCCAAAACCCTAAACCCTGAACCCTAAAACCCTAAACCTAAACCCTAAACCCTAAACCCACATAAACCTGTGAAGCCCTCTAGCCGATACACACCAAAACTCCACAACATTGATCCCCAAGAAACGCCCCAAAAACCCCTAAAACGCATGGAATCCACTCCAAGGGCCCCAAACCCTAAGCCCTAAACCCTAAACCCTAAACCCTAAACCCTAAACACTAAACCCTAAACCCTAAACCCTAAACCCCAACGCCTTCTGAGGTCGTCGCCCGGTCCTGCAGTGGCCAGCTTCCAAGGCCTCTCTCCGGGGTTTGAAGCATTAGGGCTCAGGTAGGGTTTAGGGTTTAGGGTTTAGGGTTTAGGGTTTAGGGTGTAGGGTGTAGGGTGTAGGGTTTAGGGTTTAGGGTGTAGGGTGTAAGTTAGGGTTTAGGGTTTAGGGTTTAGGGTCTGGGCCTTCAAGTAGCCCGCAACTCTCGACCTAAAACCCTTTTGGGGGTTTAGGGTTTAGGGTTTAGGGTTTAGGGTTTAGGGTTTAGGGTTTAGGGTTTAGGGTTTAGTATTCCGGCGGCTTAAGAATCCCCAGCCCTTTTGCAGTGAGCAGCCAGTGCAGGCATCGCGTCGGCGCAGGCTGTGCTGGCAAGGTCCGGCGGAATTCGACACTTAGGGTTTAGGGTTCAGGGGGCTTAGGGTTTAGGGTTTAGGGTTCAGGTCTTAGGGTTTAGGGTTCAAGGGCTTCAGGGGTTCAGGGTTTAGGGCTTAGGGTTTGATGTCAGGTCCCGAAACAAGATGGCACCTTCTCAGAAGGACTCCCCCAAACAGGACTCTAATTCAGAGAATGAACCCTAAACCCCAAACCCTAAACGCCCATTTGGTCCCCAAGGGTAAAGGCAACTCCGAAGCCCCCTAACCCCTAAACCCCAAGCCCTAAACCCCAAACCCTATATAAAACCCAAGCCCTAAACCCCAAACCCCTAGAAACCCTAAACCCTAGTACCCTTAAACCCGAAGCAGCCAGGCTTCAGTCCGCCGTCGAGCGCGGCCTCCGGCGAAAGGCGCCGGACCTGCCGTTAGATGGATTTGTGGATTTTAGGGATTTTTAGGGTTTGGGGTTTAGGGTTTATATAGGGTTTAGGGTTTAGGGTTTAGGAATTTGTGGAGTTCAGGGATTTTAGGGTTTAGGGTTTGGGGTTTAGGGATTTCAGGGTATAGAGATTTTAGGGCTGGGGATTTGGGGATTTCGGGATTCTAGGGATTTCGGTGATTTTGCGTTTAGGGTTGCCGTGTTTTTGTGGCTAGGGTTCTAGGGATTAGGGTTGAATTTTCGGTTTTTGGGTTCTGGGTTTGGGTTTAGCTGTTTTCTTGTTCTCCTTTGTGGGTGGGGATTGGTGGCGGCTGGGGGTTTAGTGTTTGTGTTACTGTTTTGGAGTTCAGGTCTGATGCTTCAAGGCTCACGTGCGGTGATTTTTGTGGGCACGCGAGAACGATCGCTTCTCTGTTTCATGGGTCTTTGTCCATGGGGTTGACCGTGCGAACCACACCAGGGTTCAGGGTTCAGGGTGTCTAGGGTTTAGGGTGGTTGCGGGGCCCCTTCATCTACACCTTAAATCATCTACACCTTAAAACCCCTAAACCCCAAACCCTACTGCTTGCTCGGGATAACCACAGCACCCTGCAGCAAAAACCCTAAACCCTAAACCCTAAACTCTAGGAGGTGGTCTCCTCATGGGGCTCAGGATGTTTACACAAAGGCTTTCCCTGTTCCCTCACCTCGAAGACGCACCTTCGACCCTATCAGCCGCAAAAAACCCGAAACCTTCAGGTTTCGGGTTTAGGGTTTAGGGTTTAGGGTTAGCGTTCCGGGTTCAGGGTTTAAGGTTCCGGCCCTTAAAACCTAAACCCCCTGCAAACCCTCAGCCTGACATCGGGCTTTCAGGAGCGCTAGTTAAGCCCAAGACCTTCCACCCCCCACACTGCTGGGTCCTGACGCCTGCTCTAAGGGTTTATTGAAATTATTAAGGGTTCAGGTCCGGGGAAAGTTTCCAGGAGTTTCGAGGAAAGTTTCGTTTTTTTTGGTTTTCTCAATAATTCAAGTTACAGGGGGCTTGAGGGTTTAGGCTTTAGGGTTTAGGGTACATGGTCCGAAGGGGACCTGCAAGGGCCCATACATCAGAACCTTCGAAAGGAGATGAGGACCATATTAAGGACCCTAAACCCTATATACCCAAACCCTAGATACCCTAAACCCTTGCCCTAACCAATAAACCCTGAACTCCAAACCCAAACCCTAAACCCCAAACCCTAAACCCCAAACCCTAAACCCTAAACACTAAACCCCAAACCCTAAACCCTAAACCCCAAACCCTAAACCCTAAACCCCAAACCCTAAACCCCAAACCCTACACCCCAAACCCTAAACCCTAAACCCCAAACCCTAAACCCTAAACCCTAAACCCCAAACCCTAAACCCTAAACCCCAAACCCTAAACCCTCAACCCTCAGACCCGCCTTGTCCGGCTCAGGCGCTGCAGCGCGCCCCGCACTTGGCAGCGCAGCAGCATCCAGTGGCACTCAGAGGATCTAGGGTTTAGGGTTTAGGGTTTAGGGTTTAGGGTGCAGGGCTTAGGGTTTAGGGCTTAGGGTTAAAGTAAACCTAATTAAACT